AGGTGAAGTCACCTTGAATTTTTTAAATGGAACACCCTATTTTTTATTGCATATTCTTATAGTTCTTCTCAATATCTTTTCAAAGCACTATAATTTTATTCATTTTGGGTCAGCCGTTTCAAAGTTATTGAGTATTTTACAGTAAGAAGTAATAAACACCCGAAGACGATTCGGAATATAATCCAGCCAACTAAGATAAGATCGAAGGATGATCCAGCCAGGGTCAAACTATTGAGACTATTGAATAGACCTTTTTAAATCCTACAACTTTTATTTGAAACATTTTTCTGTAAAACTTATATTTTTTTATTATGACCTTGAATAAGTTCTCGCTGATTTTTCGTGAAAATTAATGCTTTATTTAAAAAAAGTTGTAAAAAACATGTTACTGAAAGTATTGTCGCTAGCCACTACTTTTTCCCATCTTTCTGGCAGCATTTGAATTTCACGTCGGAAAAACGACACGTCTTTTGAGGCTATCCAAGAGTCGACCCATTTTTTAGCATCTTCATAAGAATGGAAGTGCTCAGCCAAGCCATGTGCCATCGATCGGAACAAGTGATAATCGGAAAGGGCAATGTCTGGTGAATACGGCGGGTAGGACTTCTCATTTAAACGTTTCCAAGTAGGTTTTCACCAGTTGTGCAACATGTGGCCGAGCGTTGTCATGTTGCAAAATCACTTTGACGTGTCTCTGCTCGTATAGCGGCCGTTTTTCCTTCAATGCTCGGCTCAAACACATCAATTGTAGTCGATAGCGATCTCCCGTAATGGTTTCGTTCGGTTTGAGCAGCTCATAATAAACTGCATCCAGCTGATCCCACCAAATGCAGAGCAGAAGCTTTGAATCATGGATATTCGGCTTTGCCGACGATGTTAATGCATGGCCGGGCTTACCCCACGATCTTTTACGCTTAGGGTCGTAGTGTATCCACTTTTTATCGCCAGTCACAATACGATGCAAAAAACCTTTCCGTTTTTGCCGTTGAAGCAGCTGTTCACACGTGAAAAGACGCCGTTCGACGTCTCTCGGCTTCAACTCGTACGGCCAATGTCCTTGTTTTTGAATCATTCCTAATATTTTCAAACGTTTCGAAACTGTTGTGTGATCAACTCCTAATGATTCTGCAAGTTCAGCTAGCGTCTGACATGAGTCTTCATCAAATAATGCCTCCAATTCTTCGTCTTCAAACTTTTTCAGTGCGCCAGAGCGTTCTTTATCTTCAACATCAAAATCATTACTTTTGAAGCATCTAAACCAATCTCTGCATGTTGTTTCAGAGCATGGTCGCCGTAAGTCTCAACAAGAATTCTGTGTGCTGCAGATTTTTTTTTAATAAAGTAGTGCAGTAAAATTCCCCGCAAATACTCTTTTTTTTGGACGAACCTCGACATGTTTAACACTAAGAAAAAAAAAGTTGTTTACACTTCGGCGAAATGACATACACTGAATTTCAAGCTTGCTTACATGTATAGCACTTCCTTATAGATGCGTTGCCATCTTAAACTATTTTTTTTTGTTCCATAATATGAAGAGGGCGCTGGGATATCTCATGCGCTTACAGATCTTGTGAAAGTATATACAGGCGAGTTTTTTAATTCATCGATGAATCCATCGCATGATGCGTAAATACACCGAAACATTGCATTTGCGCATCATGCGATGGATTCATCAATGAATTAAAAAACTCGACCTACATAGTTTAAGGCACATCAATGGAGGGAAACTTGAACATGTGATTGAGCAGTAAGAGAACGCGATCATAATTGCCCTCATCGCATACGCAAATAACGTTAACTGAAACACAAACATTTATCCTAAACTAAAATACGATATAAAAGTAAAAGTGCAGAGATGTAATGCTTTGTCGAAAAACTGAAAGCATAATAGACTATAGAAATACCGTATGTACCAGAGGGTGACACTTCATTATCACAGATCGATAAGTACATTTTAAGAAAATAAACTACAAGACCATCTTAAACTACATGCACGCAGTTCTAGTAACGCCATCTGTTGGAAAACAGCGAGAACTTATTCAAGGTCCTGATAGATTTTTCAGGGTTTCCATACTGTTTTCTCACTTTGTATAACAAAGTAACAGTTACGTAATATACCATATGATTGAGCTAACATTGTAATGTCAATGATGCTTTGTTTACTGTGTGTACTTCTTTATTATTTACAAAATTTATTATAAATTAAAATATTAAATATTAAAAAGAAATAATAAAAAGAAATTTTATCCAGTGAAATGGTGAGATAAAGAATATAATGAAATAGTAAAAGAAAGAAAAAGAATTTTAACTTATTAACGCCTAAATGTGCTGAAATTTACGGTAATTTGAGCCATTAATTTTTCTACGAAAATGAGATCTGTTGTTTATAAAGAGTAGCATTCTTATCAATTTCGATGTCGCTCTATCGAATAGCGTTGAGAAAATTAAAAAAAAATCGCAATTTATTTTTTGCAAAATTTTTGCAAGACAATATTAAAAAACGCATGTTTTTAGGGCTAATTTTTTCTTTTTCCGCTATTTTTTTATAAAAATGTGTTCGTATCCTATGTAATTAACATAATACACTATGTAATTTTGACCCTAAAACGATTTCGATAACCAAATATAAATAAAAAATTCGAATTAAACGCTTCAAATTGACCATCATTTTGATATCGCCATGTTTGTTGAACAAAATACCTATGGCATATTTTTTAAGTTAAAATGGCGAAAACACGTTTTAGACACTTTCCCGAGCGATACGAATACGTTTTTATAAAGAAAATAGCGGAAGAAGAAAAAAATTACCCCTAAAAACATGCGTTTTTTTATTATATTTAATAAAATTTTGCATAAATTGAGATTTTTTTTTTATTTTCTCAACGCTATTCGATAGAACGACATTGAAATTAGTGGAATAGTATTCTTTATATACAACAGATCTCATTTCCGTAATAAAATAAATGGCTCAAATCAACATAAAATTTCAACACATTTGGACGTTAATGGATTAAAGAAATTGTGGAAGATAAGGAGTAGGGAAAAAATATAAAAAAATATCAAGAGACGAGAATTGAAACAAGAAAATTTTTGAAGAGGAAGAAAAAAGAAAGATTTATAGAATTTTCATTAAAAGAATTAATAAGAATAGAGGGTTAAAATATGTTTGGCAAAAGATGAATGTGTTAGGAAGAGGAGATAATATAGTCCCAGCAAACATAGAATATAACTATTATATAACATAGAAGTAACACGTAATATAACGGATGTTATACGTTTAATTATACGTTATTAATGTTAAAGTTACATAATTTTCTTTTATAACTGCAATCTAACTATATTTTAGAATTGTTATAATTCTCTACTATTTATAGGTTATAATTGTGTAACACCAACATGATTATAATATAACAGGTTATATAACAAGCGTTTATTTGCATTACATCTATGTTATATAGTATTCTTATATCTAAGGATCGGATCGGTCACTAGATGGCTTCCATTTTCTCGTGTCTTTCTCGTACGTAAAATATGATGCATTAATATATACGTACGTTTCGCAGCGGTCGGCGAAGAAAATGGAAGAACGCACACGTACACGGACGCACACACGGAGCTACTCATTTCAGTATGCCAAACGGCCCACCTCTCTGACCTATAAGATAGGCCCGCGAGCAATCATCCATTTTCTTCGCCGGCCGCGGCGAGCCGTATGTCCCGCCTGCCATGTCGCCGCGCTCTGATATGCTTAACTATTTTAATTAATATTTCGAAATTTTACGTGGTTGTTTGAAAAATGGCCTATATAATTTTTATCCACTTTTATGTGTTCTACTTATATTTTTCTTTTGGTCCGTCTTGCGCGGGACACCCTGTATATATATATGTATATATCACACACACACACACACGCGTGCGCGCGCGCACACACACACACACACACACACACACTCGAACGCATAAAATATGAAATAATTATATCTCGCGTGTTTATGCAACACTAAAATTAAAAATACTTTACTTCGACAACCTATACAAGCGCTGTATTGTTGCAGTATTCTATATTGATTCAATATTCTATATTGAAAAAAATCTAATATTTTTTTTTTCAAGAGCAGCTATTAAGAAGCATTTGTCAAAGCCTCTTGAAAACCCTTCCCCAACATCTCCTTTTATATTACAGTAATTTCCTTGCTAATAAGAAAAAATGCATGAACGTTTGAGTGAGCGAAACAGTCGTCGGGACACCGCGTATTGCTCACGTATAGACAAGACAGTGTGAGTCAAGCGTTTTCTTAGTATGTGTCACATGTATTTTAGGACGGCATTTCTGTCCACGACGTCTTATAATGCTATCTCTCTCGCTTTTACGTCTGCGATAGAGGATGGAAGATCGCCGCGACTCCCACCACTATTCCCTCTCCAAGCGTTCGACGATCGCTTACCGCTAGCCGCCTCCACCACTCCGTGCTGCTCATGGTTCATCACAAGCAGCAGTGTGTGAGTGACGCATCATCGTGTGCGAGTCACACGGATATACGGCTTTAACGCCGGTGCGTGTACAGAAAGATGGAAATGAATAAATAAAAATAGCTCCAATAGCATAAAATGTCTGAGGACATGCTGGGATATTAGATGTCTAAAGTAGCTCTAGGATGATTCTGGAATATCTTGTGTTATTTGAGAGCTAATTAATTTAGAATAACAAGATATTTTTATGCTATCTTTACTAAAAATACAAAAACCTTTATACGAGATATATAATTATAATATTTTAAGGAGCATACTTTTATAAATTAATTGATAGCTTGTAATCTCTGCGTACAATTAAATACCTATAATTACTTGGAAATAATAATTTATATTCCATCTGTAAACATTTCAGCAATATATATAACAATATATATATATATAACAGCTATATAACATTTTAGTAACACGTTATATTTGTTACATAGCTGCAATATCGTTTGAATGGGAAATAATAAATAACGTATATGTTACATGTAACAAACATGTTATATTACACGTTGCATTCCGTTATATTACAACGATGTAACTTATTTATATTATTGTGTTTGCTGGGGTAGATTGTAGTATATGGAAGAATAAGAATAGAAAATAAAAATATTAGAGGGGAAGTAGAAAAAATAGGTAGAAAAGAATTTTCCATGCGTATTAAACATACAATAGTGCATCGAGGATTAAAAATTCTTTAATTTTGACATAAAATTCGAATTCCTTGATGTCGAAAACATAAGATTAGTAATCTTTTAAATTTAATAATATATTTCCAGCGTAGAAGTAAGGCGAGTTCCTTCTCGTGCGCCAAAAGTGCGCGACTTTTGGCGCGCGTGCCAAACAAATGGTTAAATATAACATAGAATAATTAATGTTACTATATTCTAATTCCTATTCTAATTTGTTTAACAAATGCATCTTTCTTTTAAATTATAAATTTTATATGCTCCTTTAAAAATATTGACTTGAATGTAAATTAATAACAATATATAAAATTAAATATATAATTCAAAGTAATAAGACTGTTTAAATTAAGGTAAAATATATGTAATATAAACTTCCCTTAATAAATGTATTGTTTTAAAATCTCTCTCTTTCTCCCCCCTCCCCCTCCTCCTCTCTCTCATTACATTCTAATGTAAATTAAAATTCTAGATGTAATCCCTTTTTATGATACTCATTTCACGTCTATATGAAGTTTATTCCGTATATCGGATATTTTTTGGACATTTCAGGAATAAAACTATGTCCACCAAATTCTTATATGGATATGTTATAGACATTCATGTTATAGGTGTTTGATGGACATAAAGTAGACATTTTATGGATATTCTCAATATCCTTGAAGGATATTTGTAAGATACTTTTCGGATATCTATGTACTAGCTGAATAGTAGGTAAATATTATAACAGAAAACTTTATTAGATATCATTCAAGTTTCTCCTATAAATAATATAATATCGCTATACATATATATATATATATATATATATATATATATATATATGTGCTTACATTTAGATAAACGTATAGTGTAACTTTGTTACAAAAAAACATATTTTAAAAATTCGAACGTATACAAAATTAAATAAACTATATATGTGTATATATATGTATATGTATATATATATATATATATATATATATATATATATATATATATATATTATAATCTGTTTTTTACGAAAATGTTGATTTATAGAAATGAATAATATACATTTAATTATACAAGTATTATACGTCGAATATATCCGTTTCTAATTATACATTTAGCACAAAGTACTTTAATAACTTGTAAGCAATTTGTGTAAAATACGTTTTCTTAATACTTTTATTTATATACACACACGCATGCATGCACGCATGCACGCACACACACACAGACATGTATTTCAAACTTATAGCAAGTCGCATGTTAATTTCTTTTTCCTTTACAAACGCTGTAACATGGAGCAATGCATTTCAAACTGTTTCTATTATCGCAGTAATAATAATTCTTGTGATAGTATAAGCGATATATTTCGTGCTAAAAATCGATTAAGTAGTTTTTAATTCAAAGCTGTAGATGTCAAAACAGCGACTCCTCTCTCATAAAAACTATGCGGTTCTTGACTAGGAGCGATATTTAAATCAACGGTAAATAATAGTTCAGTACGGGTGCTGTTCAAATAAACCGGTAAAGACAATTTGCCCTTTCTGATATCCTCTGTGGAGGATCGCACCCATCGCAACATCGTTACCGGCAAATCAGTCATAATAGTTGAAGTTAAATACAATTGATTATCCTTACACTGCGCGCCTTGTAGTTTCAAACCAGTAACGGCGAAGGAGCAATCGTCCGTAGCAATGTTATCGCCATCACCAATAGTTACGTTCAACTGTAATTCCTCAAGCGACCAACTATTAGCTTGCGCGATGCATTGTCTGGTCGCGGTAATATAAGCTTCGGGATTCAGTAAGCCACCGAGCCAAACTGGGAAACTCTGTGAATACCAAATAATTTTTTTATATTACAATAAGCAGAATTTCAACTATGATATACATAAATTAAATATGAATTAAACTGAAAGTTATATGGATTAAACAGAAATTTGGCCTATAATATTTTCAAATATTACAATACAAACAACTTATTTATAGACAAATATGAGCTAACGTGTCGCGATGACAATGTACACACACACACACACACCCATATATAAGTATTTTTAAAGAATTTTCTCTAAAATGTCTAACAGAGTTACAATTGCAATTAAGTGTTAGAAATTTCAAGACGCTCTAGACGACATTTTTCAAAACTATTCACATGGTAATCAGTGCGTATGTTGGCTTGTAATTGTCTATAAATTAACTTTTATTTTTGGATTTCTTTGGAGATTCCTGGAGCCATTTTTTTCTGTCTCTTTAAATTAAAAAATTTTTGGTATAGACAAGTTTAATAAAATAAAGTATCTATAACACAGTGAAATAAACAATTTTGGAAAAATGGAAAATCACCTTTATTTCTTTTGCTCCACCTTGAGATACTAAACGCGAAACTTCTTGCAACTGCGAAACTCTATGACTAAAATCTGTGATCCATTGTATAACTGTACAACCTCTTGGTACAGTATATCTCCTCCAACCACCAGGCAAAATACCCTTTACTAATTCGGATAGCATTGTTCTATGGTAGTTAGTCTGTTTCTTCTCGCCCTGTCAAAGATAAAATGTTATTATTTCGAGTTAAACCGATTGAACCGGTTTTATTTTGTATTTGAGAAAAGTATAATGTAAATACTTGACAAATTAATACGACATCTTCCAGATCGTGTATGACGTCTTGAAGTAATTTTGCTCCGCTATTAACTTCTCTCTCAAAGTATCTATACAAAGGATCTTTAATATTCTCTACTGTTCTCTTTAAAGTCGGTAGATTCTTTGGAAGTAACTGCAACCAAGTCGAGGCCGAATTGTGTAGTGTTCTCATCCATGAAGGTCGACCGTCCGCTTCGGCTTCCCTTGGTGTATCCAAGGATTCTTCGTTCGAATACGCCAATTCGTCTTCATCCTCCAGTTGTTGCATTTTGAGAAGCTTCGAAACCAGATCGGTTCCTCTCGTGGTCAAGAGCACTTTCTCCGCGTTATTCGGTAAACCAAGCCAAGAAGGCGTCTGTCTGTCCGAGAGAGACTCAATCCACTTCAAGAAATGATCTCGTCTAGTACCATCTGGCATCGTAATGTGCCTTTGATTGCTTTGCGCACCATCAATGTTGGCAACTAGAGCGAAATCAGCTTCAAACGATCGCGGTGTGAAGAGTTTGCGCAAGAAAGATGCCAGAAGACGTTGATCGAAATCATTATCGATCTTACCACCGTAAATACATTGAGAGAGCAGAGTTACTAGAGCATCCCAAGGTACTTTCTCGGGCGGTAGATTTGTCCTACCCATAGCCGTAGCTTCGATCCAAGTGTCCAAGGTGTCGCAAGCGACTCTCAAGTCGCTCTCATTGAATTCGTAATGTTTGGCCCAGCCTAATGGCGCATAACGCAACCGTTCTTGCACAATTGCGTGGAACCATGCGAGCAAAAAGTAGAGACGAGCTCTTTCGTTAGGCGCCCGCATCATTCTTGAAGCAGGTACAGTGCTGAACGTACGTAATAAATTCGCTCGTATACCAGGAGGCGGTTCAAATACAAAGATTCTACCAGCTCGAAGTAGATTTACCGGCACTTTAGGATTAATTTCCATCGTTAAGAACAAACGAAAACTAGTGTGCGGCTGCAAACTGTGTAATTTCTTTTCTAACTGTACCAACCACTGTGGTGCAAGATGCACGTTCTTCAGCAGTACCCATCTACCGGCTTTCACGGCCATATTTATAGCTCGGTCGGCCTGATTGAACCCTTCCGCCGATCCAATAGCAATGCTAGCTATTTGTTTGCTCAATTCCGCGGCTAAGTCATCCACTCTACCGGAAGCGTCGAAACCTGGCACTGAGCAAAGTAAAGCCGGTACGGTTGCCTTCAGTTGGTTCTCGACGACAGATGCGAAGTCGAGCTCTGCTTCCGCGTTTGGCATAAAAGACTCGCCGAAAGCAGAAGTCATTACTAAAGACGCAGCCGCGATTACACGATCCGGTCGGAACGCTTGTATCACTAGTAATTCATGCATTGCCGTTCCCGTCGGTGATGACGGTTTTTCCTCGTCCCAAAGTTTCGGCACGCACGTTTCAGGTGTGGGTGATTGCAACCATGCTCCAAATTCTGCATTTTCTTGTATCTTCTCCGTGAGTTTCTTAAAAGCTGGTAATCTTATGCTTAAGCGCATCATCGCTTCCTGTTGTTCTGAACTAAGATTGGGCACCGGTGGGCCACGAATGTTAAGAACACCTTCTTTTCCGCGTAGGAAGAACGTAAATTCACTGTCGTAAGTAGATTCCGTCGGTATGCCCTTCAAATGGATGCGACAGAGCAAGAGAGCAAATGTTAATCGGTCCGTATGGAGCATTCCTCGAGCAACTCGTTCGTAACAAACAGAGAATAAGTCGCGCGTAATTAGCGAAAGTCTCTGAGTATAGTCCGATAAACCGGACAATTTCGGATTCTGTGACAACACGGATGTGAAAATGTCTAGGAACATCTTCAACGAGTACTGATACAAAAAGTGTACTTGGTTAAGACTGTCCATCGTAAAGTACATATTGGAACACGCCTGAGACAGAGGCATATATTGCTGGGAAACTGTCTCAATCTCTGCTATGACTTTATCCGTCTCCTCCACTTTCTTGCTAATATCAGCGGCTTCTTGTTTCAAGGTCTCAAGAGTAGTGATCACAGAATCGTCATCGAGAATCTTGCCTTTGGCGTCGTTCAACGCTTGCAACAGAGATTTCTCAAGTTGCCGCAATCTCAGATGGAACTCTCCTTGAAGTTTCAATAGATCAGACCTCTTCTCGTCAATGTCCGGACGTTCGGCTTTTAGCACTTGATTCAAACATTGACTTTGCAATGAACTCCTAGTAACGGTGAAGTTTACGAACGTCACGCGCGAGCAAATGTCTGGTGGGAATTCTACCGTTGGGTCTCTCGTCGACAAGAAGATAACAAAAGATGGTGAAAGATCTATGTCTTGATCGCCGAGCGTAATCAATACACGTCCGCCGGTTCGTCTAAGTTCTCTGTTCAACACGGGATTCAGTATAGGATCATAATTCTCCACATCTTGTACTAACAAAGGATTACCGAAACGTAGAGCACTTTCGAGATTTTTCCTGAACGAATCGTCTAAAAAGCTAGTCTTCGTAATCTTTCGGTCCTTAAATTCATTCATGATAAATTCCGTCGCTTGACCGGATGGGTCAATAATCAACGGGTATCTGTTAAAACGTTTCAACATGATGGCATTTTCGGTGCATAGGTCATCAGTAGGTAACGCATTTGCTTGCCATCTTAAACGTTCATCCGGATTAGAAAGATATTCCGTTCTCGCAATATCAGCTCTGAATTGTAAATTGGCATGTTGCAGATGTTGACACCATGTGCTAAAGAGATTTTGGCGATACTAAAATAAAATAAGCTTTATTGTAAATCGATTCATCATTTTAAACAAGATATTATAAATTATTATAACTTACATGTTGATCGAAATAACCAGCATAAGCCAAGAAAGCAGAAGACAGCAAAACGTCTCCGATTATTGTAGACATCTGACTCTTAAACGTTTCGCTCGTTGCTTCCCATCTTTCTCTTTCTATCACCAAAGACTTCAATAAAGCAATCGATCTATCCACCTTGGCTTGCACGCTCTCCAGATCGGCTTTGATGGCTTGCGCTTGCGAGATGAGTTGAGCATATTCTTCCTTATATGATGCTATGCTCTGCTCTAGTTGAGCTATCAAATCCTTCACCTCTTCGCCCTTCAGTTTATTAGTTTCTGCTTGTCGTTCCAGAGAATGAAGTTCATCGCGTAGCGGTTCGACTCGTTTCAACATATCTGCATATTCAATCTGAAATGACATTATTTTATATTTTATTCTAAGCAATAATATAAATCAATACTCAGAATTACATGAATTTTCTAAGCGATTTTCGAAGACTATACTTGCTCTCCTTGCCGCTCCCACTCACCTATCCAGGTAGCAAGGTGACGTCTTTAGACGTCACTTTGCTACCTGGGTAGGAGAGAGCCATGCAACTGACGATCGCGGTTTAGAACTAATGATTAGCTTTAGAAGTTTGAATCTCATCATATTTGAGGAACTTTTCAAATGCTAAAAAGATCTGATTAAAACTAATTTCTTATGCGTAATTTGAATTAATTATTATATAATCGAGATATAATATTATATATAGATTGAAAATTATAATTATAATATGATAGATTTATACATTATTTATGAAATACTATTGATAACATGTTCTTTTTTTAAGAATTAATTATTCACACTTCTGAGGTTATATATGTAAACGTCGCGAGCGTATCAATTGCGTAGCTCGCCAAGTAACGGGAGCGACAAGAAGGAAAGAATAAGAATTGTCTTCGGAAATTGTCCTGTAAGTTCAAATAATTGCAAACATTGATTGTAAGTAATATACAAGATAGATAATAATAGATAATAATATACAAGATAAATCACTTTAAATAAAGCGATCAAATATATCTAAAAATTTAAGATTTATAAAATATTTTTAAAAAATAAAACTTGATGTGAGTGTCGAAAGTGACAATATTTTATAATACTTATTAATAAGTACTTTTTTGTGATATTAATAAATACTTTTAAAAATTTTTAAAAACATTTCAAGATCAAGTTAATTTTTTAACAAGAAATTATATATATTTTTTATTGTAACATCTTATTCTATGTTTCAATGTTTACCACTTTTATATAAAAGTATGTTAAATATACACATATACAAAAATAAATAAAGCAAAAATATGTTTTCTTTAACATTTTCTCTAAATTTTGTGTGTTGACAAAAATTTTTCATAAAATTTCAACTTTTAATTATTTCATTAAAATAGTCTATCTTGTACACATCTCTTGTGCGAATTATTTTAAATAAATATTAAAATAAATACCTGTGCTATAGCCCATTTTACCATAGGGCCGCAAGCCAAACTAGCTCGATTCACTTTTTCAAAATTGTAATCAGGGTTGCTCAAATAGCGGCTTTTCATTTTTTCTCTCACCTCATCGCTAAATAAAATTTGTATAATTTTTTTATGTTAAAAGAAATTAACTTATCAATTCTAGTTTTTTTATACCATCTTTGTTATATTACGATAAACTTTCATGCAATAATTTTACCATACACTATTAATCTTGATTAGAATGTTACATTTATATACACATTATTATCAACGAATATAAAATTTAAGCACAATTCAATGTTAGTGACGAATTTAATCAACTATTATTATATAATAAAAATAATAGTAATATTTCTTAATTTTTGTTATTTAAATTTGTTAATATATACATTAAAATATTTCAAAGTTTTTATTTTAAAATTTCTTAACAAATTAAGCACAAATAATTTGTGAAGAATATATTATTATATATTGATTAAATGATAATAAAAAAGCGTATATATATACATAGTACTGCTATGTACTTGTGTACTTTTTAGTACTTTTAATAGTACATATAAAAAATCATCTTTTGTTTTTACGCGCTAAGGTATATTTAATTTTCAACACAAAAAAAAGATAAGATCAGCAAACACGTGAATGCAAAATACTTAAAAATTATTACAAATTTGTAAGATAATGTATTTTAATCGTCGATTCAATGTGATATTATCATATGCATCAACAAAAATATATTGCATCATATATAAATATTTAAATTTGTGACAACTGATTTCTCGATATTACAGCGTAAAACTATATTAATAATGAATGCATGCTTACGTAATGTCCTCAGTACTGAAATTAGAGACAATAGTATTGATAAAATTGTCCCTCATGATGACCGCGCGGATAGATTTCCAGTCACTAGCATTTTCGCCGAGCAATAAGCAGATGGACTCCAACGCGACTTTCACAATCGCCGGCGGGTTTGCCATAGAGCGAACCTCAACCAAATGTTGTTTCTTTATCGATTTTACCGCTATACAAACAATTATAGGCCATTATATAGTATAATAAAGAGATGTGCAGGCAAAGTTATGATGATGTTACCGCGCAAGAAATATAATAATACAGGTTGGGGAAGCCTTCGGTTAACTTATTAGAATTTCGGGAGAGGCGAGTAATATATATTATATATATATATATATATATATATATATATATATATATATATATATATATATATATATATATATATTTTT